AAAGCTCTGCTTCATGGAAACGGCTCTACTTGCTGGTTTCTTTCTGCTGTCTCCTGCCATGCAGAACTTTCTGTATTCATATTGTCTGCTATTAAACCAGGTGCTTATTGCACCTTGTGCTCCCCTCTCCTCCCAGTAGTTACCCAGCTTGGGTGCTTTGCCACGTCTCTCCTAGTCCCAGGCTGTTCTGCACCCACCCGCTGCAGGAGCTCAGGATCCAAGTGACAGAGGAACCAAGGAGACAGAAACACCCTTCCATTAAAATAGCTCTTACTCTTAAGACTATGATCCTAATTCACAATTCTCAAGGACCTCCAGAAATCAATTTTCTGTTTTCTTGATGTACATCCAGAAACAAATTTCAAGCCATTCCATTTTATGCTATTGATATTGAAGTAATTTGGATGTGGCTTTTCATCCAAACTTTATGAACCTGGAAGCTTCAAGAGCAGAATGTCTGGAGACAGCCCCTCCTCATTTCAGAGTGGCCATGAAGCCATGTGTAAAGAAGCTCTTTGGCTTTCTGATACCTCCAGTTCCTAAAGGCCCCTGGAAAAAAGAGCTGTGTAACAGTGGAAAAATAATGGGCAAAATGCTATGGATTCTCAAGATCTTTCACAAAGGCTCTTGCCAATTGCAGTGATGAACTGAAGTTTATTCTTAATTGCCTGTACCAGGGAAAGCTCTTTCTTGTCGAGCACAGGGCAGGAGGTGGGTATGTGTGACCTTCTAGTCTCAACTTCCACACCAGTGTATGGGCTTGGAATTGCATTGGGTGAAGCCGGATCAAATGCTCGCTTGTTTTCCTGACTCTGCCTTCCCACAGGTTAATTAAGTAGTTGGTACCATTAGTATCCACCTCAGGGTGCTCTAATTCAGCAGAAGGAAAGCAGCACGGTAAGGGCAGCCTAAGGGTCTCTCTCTCCTGCCCTGTCTGTCTGCATTTGGCCAAGCAGCCACAGTTCAAGGCGAGGTCTGCAGATGTGCTGCCTCCTCGTCTGTCTTTCCGATCACTGCCTTGCAACGAATTTAGCCCTTTGAAGCTACCTAACCACATTTGGTCTGCTCATGGAAGGATAGATTAACTACTTCTAAGATTCACTGAGCGGTGAATCTGAGCTCGCTGCAATACCCTGGAGTCCTTAACTGTGAAGATGAATCATGTTAATTAGGGACTACCAGGACACAAGACAGAATTAATCTTATTAGAAAGTTAGATGGGGATGCAGAGCAATTAGAGGTTTTGCTACAGATCAAGACAGCTGAAATGGAAGTGTAATAAAGCATGCCAGCCTCCAAAATCACCCCAAAGTACAAGCTATCTTTTAAGTAGTATAAGAATGTAGAACAAAACTCTGACATAAACATTTAGAGATGTGCAGTGATAAGCATGCAGGAGACTAACAAAAAGACCTTTTTTTAATCCAGAAAACTCAGTGCATGCATTTTATGAGCCAAAGAGTCTCAAGCAGGGACTTAAAGCGGACATGACAGTTGCACTCCACATCTCAGAGGTGCAATGCTGCACCTAGGACTCTGGAATATGATTTGGGAGACCAGAATTCAGTCCTGGCTTTACAGTCACTTGTCAAATAATTCTGAAACTGTAACTTTATTCTTGTAGTGTTGGAGTAACATTATTAAGGTTGTTAACACCACTACCTTCAAGTGCCTCCTCTATTTTCATAGTCATCCCAGGAAATTTACCATCTTTCATGAACCTGACAGGCCTATATCCCTGATGTTCTGTTCAGTGCTACTGTTAAGTGAAACAGTGACCAGGTCTTTTAAAGGCCATTTTTCACAAAAGCACTACTCTTTCTTAGATGAAAGGTAAAGCACTTTACCTCCTAAAGCCATGGCAAAGTTTTACTCATGTACATAACATCTGAAATGTTTAGGAGATGATGGTTTACACTCTAAGTTTGGCTTTGGTACCTTCAAGTAATTCAGACAGATAACAAGCAAAAATCTCATTTCATGATAGTTTACCTAATGGACAATATAAAACTGTCTTACTCTATTCAGCAAAACCATAGGGAACATTTTCTGCAGCTTAACTTGTATTCATTTTAACAGAAATTCCCCACATTAACATCCCTGAACAGCAGATTCAAACATGACCAATTCTGTAGAAGTGCGGTGTGGGATGAGGAGGACAGGGATCCACACAGAACTGGGCTGCAACCAGCCCACGCTCTTTTTGGTGAGGAGGGCGGTTGCTGTAATTGTAGAGGTGAAGCACATAGCCAGAGTGAGCCTCCATGTGTGATCTGCTGTCTATAGTCTTGCTCCTATGGGGAAGATGGGGAGAAGATCTGGGGTCTTCTAGAGCCTTTTTGGCCCTCCATGGAAAGGCTCCAGGCAGACCAACAAAAGCACACCTTTGCTATCAGTGGAGAAATGAGCTGTGCTGCCTTATGCCTGACATCACCCCAGTGCAGGCTCCATAAATAGAGCAGGCTGGAGTGACCCACGACTTACAGATTCTGTGAATATGAGCACCAGCCAAGACAAACTAATTCAGCCCAGCTAGCATAATTTTCTAAAAGGAGGATTTCTTATTAGGGTGGAGAAAATGTGGAGATTATGGAGGCTACTGCACTGTTTCCGCATCAGCAGGTATCCCATGACATTGTGGACAAGGACCTGCTCTGGTTTAACCCACTTGGAGGAAGGACTAGAATGACCTTCCAGCCTCAGCT